CCTAAGTTTATTGCTCAGTAATAGGTGTAACCTATTGTAGAATCCAGTGGCTAGGTATCATTTAAGTTACTTTGAGGCCCAAAGTTCAATTTCTTAGACTAAAGAATTTTGAAGATAAGTTTGAAATCTGGTCAAACCAATCAATCGGGCCAACAGTTCAGCGTAAAAACTATTGGTTGACCAAATCAAGCCCAATTTTTGATCAAATCAATTGCATTCTAATCAAATTATTCTGTTTGGCCCGATCATGGGCCCATTTTACCCAATTTCTAACTTGAGCTGACTCGGGTTTTATATGATATATTGTGCGAATTGTACAAATTGTTTCCTTGGCAAGTGCTCCCAACTCATGTTGCTTTCCATTGAGTTACAATAGAAGCTTATCAACTTAGATATCTATGATGTGAAGGACAACGATAAGTGTTGCACTAGCTAAGGCAGTTGAATTGAAAAATTCTAATATTGAAGAGTGGGCTAAACTTAACATTAATAACGACATAGAGTTGACAACAAAAGAAAGAGCATGCACGGAGTAAGATGAAGATGAGAAGATGGAGATAGAGGAAGAGAAAGATGGAACCGATGATTAGAAGGATTTGGAAGGTGAGTACACTAAGCTTCTTGCACTTGCTTTTCATGATTCAGAATTAATAATATTTAAATATATCTAGGAAAATAGAATTCGTAATATATTTTTTTACTAAATATAAAATAAAACTTGAGCATTATTATTTTTAATTATTGTGCTACTTTTTTTCCTTAACAAAACATCATTTTTATTTATAGTACACCATAACTTTGACTTTCAGCTCATTACATTATTACTCATATTTATTGCAAAAAATATTTAGACTTTTAAATCAACAGTGATTTTGACGGTTCCATTGATTCAATGCTTAGATTGGATTAGCGATCAGGTTGGATATAAAAACTGTGAGTCCTTTTGATTTGTGTTTCAATTTTCTGTTTTAAATATTGAATTTATTCTTAGTTTTTCTGTTTTGAGGCCTGTTTTAAAATTTCTAAAAACACGTTTAACTTGTTATTTTAAAAATAAAAACTAAAAAACACTGTTGATTTGAAGTTTTGAAAAATTATTTTATGATATTTTATTCAATGAAATTTGATTATTCAATAAAAATTATATATATTATATATTAATATATTATCATGTAATATTACATTTTAAAGTTGTATTTTATAATATTTTTCTTAATACAAAAGTAAAATAAATAATAAATTGAATTTAAAATATATGAAATGAAAATAAATATAAAAATTATTGAAGTGAATAGAGAATATTTTTATCTGTGTTCATTTAATTTTTTATTTTTGAATTTTTATGTAAATAATCATTAAGAGTTTGAGCTATTTTTATTTATTACTTATTACTTTTTATAATTTTTTATTTTTTGGAAGTTTTTATAATTTTATTTTTCTTCATTTTTATTTTTTTAAGATTTTTAAATTTTAATTATTAGAATTTTACATTTTTATTTTTAAAATTTTATCTAAACAAAATTTTATTTATACGTTGTTTTTCATGTTTTGCAAAATTGAAAATTGAAATCAATTTTAAAATAGTAAATCAAAAAAATGTACCTTATGGTTTTGCCCAGACAATAGACGCTGTACATTCGGAATTTACCACTTGGAGTTACATAAAATAATCCGCCACACCATTTACCTTCTTCAGGTGTCGGGGGACAAATCCGTCATTAAAGAAAGAAAAATACCCCCACTGTGGTCATTTTCCCTAGGGCTTGATATATTACGCACAACCCAAACAATTGCGGTGCGATTTCGAAGAACCCCGTTGCCTAAGCTCGAAAGAAAGAAAGTTTTCAAGCTTCGGTAATTCATTTCATTTTGCTTTATGTATATAGATGTGTCTCTATTTACCCGTGCGAGTGTATGTTATGTGTGTGCATTCTTGTTCATTCTGAATCTTTCAAATTTAGTTGCTGCTGTTTGATTGCAGTTTGATAATTTCACTTTCGTCCGTTTTAATTGATGATTCGATTTTAATATTTGAATTCTTCGTGTATTACAAAGCTAATTTGGTTTACGTTCTATCTCATCAAACGGGTTTGTATGATTATCATCTGTGGATATTCTGAATTTAGACCCCAGTGGGAAAGATAAATAAGTTAGACGCAGGAGTTTCTTGTGCAGGCAAATGGTATATTTTTGCCTACTTGTTTTAAGACTGTATAGCTAAATACTAAATTTGAGGTCATTTTCTGAATTTATGTACGAGTTCAGTTTGGAATTCAATCGCTGGAAATGTCATGTGGCTTGATATCATGGGTAAAATGGGTGCATAGCATGGAGTTGTGCCACTGTTCACCATGAGGAGTTTTCACATGTACCGAGTGCATGGAATGAAAATTGTGTTGAGTTAATGTTAGATTTTTTTTGGGTAAACTATTGAATATTGATATGGTTGGACATATGTTGGAGGTTGATTTGGTTTCCTCCTAATAATTGGAAATATATCAATATGAGTTAAGCATTCTCACATCAAGAAAAATAAAAATAGATTGTTGGTCATGCATGGTTGTCTGATGAAGAAACTGTCTGAACTACTAAAATGAGGCAGACTTGGAGAGGTGGAGACAATTAGTGATGCTCATATCGTTTCTTGATTTGCTGAAGTTTTGAGCTATAGAATTGGTGTTTAGAAATTGCAAATCATAGGCATCCTTGTGACTTTCTTCTACCTGAGCGCTTCGCATCCTGTATTTTACTGTGTTGGAACCATTGATATTTGGTCGAGGGAGATTAATGTGGGATTAAGCATCTCATATGTGTTAGCTTTACAAGTTGCTGGTTTTGTACGCGTCTATGCTAAGCAGAATTTTCATCCCGTTTCGATTAAAGTCATTATATGCTTTCTTTATGTCCACCTCCAACCTCCCCAATTCCTTCACCTCACTACCAGTTACCATCTCCGCTACACAAACAAGTTCCCAGCAACTCATCATCACAAAATTCCTCGTCTCCACATTGAGCGCCATAATTGAAACCCTACACCCGCTGCATAACAGCTACTTCTTGTACTGTTGCCTGATAATTGGGAAGCACTGACACATTTCCAGTGCCAGCGAGTCGGTGTCTGTAACATAGATGCGATTGACATGTGTCGAAGATGCTGGTTCGCTCGTCCAACATTTTCCCTGATTTTCTACCACCGGACTAAAAGTTCCTGACACGCCGTGAATATGTACGAGAATCCCTATTTAAAAAAAAAAAAAAAAAGTATTTCAGAGAACCGGTAAAAAGTGATAAATTAACCTAGCCTATTATAGTGCCTTTTCATTTCAAGCGTGTAATATTGCGACCTCCGGGCATTGTTGGGCTGTTTTCATTTTTATCACTTTGAACGGTGCTAATGGCAAAAGAAACCCTAGTTGCAGAACCAAATCGACTTTTGTGTTTTGTAAAGTAAGAAGCTTTCTCTCTTATTAAATGCGTGCTTATTTAGGGGGAACCCTAGTTGATTTACCATTATTAAAAGGCTAATCTACTTGTTTATATGTTGGAGAGAAGCGACGTTTCCTTTTTGGAAGACAAACACACAGACACGCCTTATTAAGCCCTTGTTTTTGGTCCATGTGCAAAATATTTTATTGTGTGAATGTGTGGTTGGAGGGAATAAATTGATTTAACCTTTTTATTCCTTGTAAGGATGCAATCTTTTTAACCAATATAAGATTCGCCTCCCATTTGGCCCCCATTTTTTAAAATGAAAATGGGTGGAATAGTGTTCCTTTTTATTTTATTTTATTTATTTATTTTTTTTGAAAAATGAGTTGTTGAAAAAGAAGGAAAAATTTTCGATTTATATGTAATATTATTTTATAAAAGATTGTGTAGTTGAAAATAGGGGAGAGAAAAATGAAATGTAATGTAATGGGGCCCAAACGGGGCTTAACTAAAAATTATCATTGCATCCTTAAGGGCTGAAGCAATAGCCCATTTTATATTTTTGAAAAATAGGGCAGCTAACTTTCAAAGTATCAATATTTTAGTTGCTTTACACTGCATAACTAGAAAAAATGCTTAAAAAAAATAAAAAAAAATAAAAATAATAATTAATTAATTTTTTTAATTAACATGGCGACAACATGTCTTGTCAGTAGTATTTTGAAAAATCACGTGTCGGCGTGTCTAACTTGTGTTGTATCAGAAGCACTTCCGTGCATCGTGGACCAATAATGCTGCAAAAGATCTCCAGTCACGACAAATTCACAGTGATGCTGCTTACAAATGTTATACTGGGTATGAAATGATGAGGAACAGAAACTAATTGGCCAACTAAATTTGAAAAATAGGGCAGCTAACTTTCAAAGTATCAATATTTTAGTTGCTTTACACTGCATAACTAGAAAAAATGCTTAAAAAAAAATTAAAAAAAATAAAAATAATAATTAATTAATTTTTTTAATTAACATGGCGACAACATGTCTTGTCAGTAGTATTTTGAAAAATCACGTGTCGGCGTGTCTAACTTGTGTTGTATCAGAAACACTTCCGTGCATCGTGGACCAATAATGCTGCAAAAGATCTCCAGTCACGACAAATTCACAGTGATGCTGCTTACAAATGTTATACTGGGTATGAAATGATGAGGAACAGAAACTAATTGGCCAACTAAACCTTCCCCAGTACGTCGACAGTTCACTTGACATTTAACAAGTAGGAGTAGAACCGCAAGAAGAAAAGTGCGTGATGGTTCTGCAAGGACTCTCATTTGTTATATACATGTCTTTATTTTGCATGAGACTCCTGTTTGTGTGAACACATGACTCAATTGGTTCGTGTTCTACAACTCTATGATAAAAGAAATGGCTTCGCAATGGGTCTTATGAAATGTAATTGACATTGCTTATTAATGAGTTCATTCACAGTTCCCGTGCATCGGCTGACTGCAGGGAAGTAACAGATTGGGACATGTATTCTGGACTTCCAATTAATCTTTTGTGGTTGGTTCTTAATTACCAAACCATTATCTTTTTGTTGACTAGAGATAATCTCTAGTTTCCATTATCTGTTGTTTGGCCTGACCTGCTGCATAAATTTTTACCCTATTGTAATATTCATATTCTTATTTTCTGTTTCTCATTTCTTATTATTTGCTCCCTTTTCCTTTCTTTTTGGTTTTGAATGCATTGCTCTTGACAGTAATTTGACTAAAGTTTGGCCATTTTTTGGCATCAATCAGTATCTAAATTCTGAAAATTCATTCTACCTGTTGAGCATCATGGTCCTCTGGATTGTCATTCATAATTCTCTCGTTTGCCTGATTCTGTTTGTACTATATTTTGTCATCCCTTGTTTGGTTGAAGTCCTTGGAGCCATACCTACTGGAACCAATTCAATCAAGATTCTTACTCTAGAACTCCTTTTGGCCTTCCATTTTGTTTCCATCTGTCCATATCATTCTTCTTTCTTTTGCAAATGCTTCCGGCTTCTGTGCTTCCCTCAGAGTTGCAGTAGAAGCTTATCTACTTATATAAGATGCCAAGGACAAGGGCAAGTGCTGCAGCTGCTGAATCAGTTGAACCTGAGAAGTCTATTGAGATTGAAGATCAGGCTGAACTTGGCATAGATAATGAAATGGAGGAGATAGCGGAGGAAGAGGTTGAATATGAAGAAGTGGAGGAGGAAGTAGAAGAGGAAGAAATGGAAGAAGTGGAGGAAGAGGAGGAGGTGGAGGTGGAGGAAGAGGAGGAAGAGGAGGAAAGTGATGCCAATGGAGCTGGTGCTCAAAAGGATCCAGATGGTGATCAAGATATGAAAAATTCCGAGCAGGAAGTGGATGCATTAAAAAGGCATGCTGAGCTTCTTGCGCTTCCTCCTCATGGTTCGGAGGTTTACCTTGGTGGTATTTCTCAGGATACTTCTGAAGATGACCTGAGGCACTTCTGTGAATCAATTGGCGAGGTTATGGAGGTAACTTAAACCTTCTTCTTATGTTCCAGGTTAATTATTTGATTGTATAGCTTACGTACCTTGTTCATGTAAATGACAGGTCAGGATAATGAAGGGAAAGGACTCGAATGAAAATAAGGGGTATGCTTTTGTAACATTCAGGACAAAGGAATTGGCTTCTAAGGCCATCAAGGAGCTTAATAATACTGAATTGAAGGTAAACGCATTATCTACCTCTAAGAAGAAAGAGGTCTTGTTTGCTTAGTTTTTCCAATAATTTATTAACTAGTTTTCCTGTGTGATATCTAAATGAAAAATACCTCTTTTGCACTATCTTTCTTGTTTGTGTATTACGTTATTGCATCTATTTGTTTCTTTGTTTTCAGGGGAAAAAGTTGAAGTGCTCTACATCTCAAGCAAAGCATAAGTTGTTCATTGGTAATATTCCTAAGAACTGGGGAGAGGAAGACATCAAAAAGATTGTGAACAAAGTAGGTCCTGGAGTTATCTCCGTGGAACTTTTGAAGGTCAGGCTGCCATTAGATCTCAGTGTTGTGATGCATCTAGCTGTTGCATCTTCCAATACTAAAAATTTAGTACCTCTCTTTTCCTTATTTGCCAAATAAAGGTAACATGTTTATATATTTTCCAGGACCCACAGAATTCAAGTAGGAATCGAGGATTTGTATTCATCGAGTACTACAACCATGCTTGTGCAGAGTATTCGAGGCAGAAGATGTCAGATTCAAAATTTAAGCTGGATGATAATGCTCCAACGGTCAGTTGGGCTGATCCAAAAAATGCAGAATCTACATCTAATTCCCAGGTTATTGTTCTAGGTTCATTTCTTCTGTAGTTTCGGTTTCCTTCATCTTGAGTAGTCAATTGATGCCATCATGTACTGATTTTGGAGAATCTCAGTTGGTCACATTTAATAGTTTTGACATGTAAAATCATTCTGATTTTCTTCTCATACCTAAAATGCTGGTCTATTTGACGATTCTGTTTATATGCTTTATTATTTGCTGTATGTTCTTAGAAGAGGCATAATTTTTCTATGATATCTTGTGTTTAACAATTTGTAACATCTTCCCACCTTAGCATGTATGTATGCTACACATATAGGAGAGTTATACATTGTTCTTTGGGAAACAGAAGGTTCATTCTGGAATTCTATTTTTTTTTGACATTGACTAAACATTTTGTTATAATATATTGATTCCCAAACTAGACAAGAAATGTCAGAAATTAGGAATTTCTTAATAAATTGAAAAATATTATCTTAGATGCTCTTATATTCCTGATGGTTTCTGTGTAAAAGTACCCTTAAAACCTTACACAGCTCTCATGAGGTTGTTTTTATGGGTAGTTTTGGTAAACCTGTCCCCCCTGTTTCCCAAAATTAAGAAAGAGAACTTTGGCAAATACTGTCCTCCCTCTCACATTTCCTTGTTCCTCCCATTGATTTCAATATATATAATAATGGATCTGAATACAATTCAAAAGTTGATAACGAATTAAAGTGGACAAATTCAAATTCAAATTGCCCAAATATTTATGGGAGAGAGGAGACTGATAGGATTTTATTTGGAAAATATAGAATAGAAGAGAAAACGATTACACTAAAAGAAGGATAACAGATGCCTGTGGGAGGTTGTGACTCTCAAACTAACTCCTCTCTCTAAGAAATTGCCTGCCTTCCCTGTTCCCTCTACTTTATTTATTAACTTCTTGTAACTAACTACCCAATTCAATTACTTCTCAGAGTGCCCCTTATTCCTGCTTCTGGATCCTTCTAGAGTAGGTGAATCGAATGGGAGGTCTATCAATACCCCCATTTTCCAAAACCACCTTGCCCTCAAGGTGGAAGTCAGGGAAGTGCTGGATGATGGACTTGGCTGACTCCTACGAAGCCTAAAACACTGGTAACCCCTTCAATTTGATCAATACTTCTTTCCTGATCCTTGTCCTCTCCCTGCTGGACGCGCTTCCAGGACCTGATCATGCTCCACAATCCATTCCAATGTAGCATCCAAATGTGGGGGAATCTGCAGGTTGGGGCACTGCTGCTCCCTGTGCTTTCTTACGTTGGGATACGTGTAATACGGGATGAATTATTGGAGGCAGCTCTAGATGATAAGCCACTGGCCGTATATGTTTGATGATTTTGAAAGGGCCGAAGTATCGAGGTCCCAGTTTCCCATTTGGTTTCTTTGCCAATGAACAGAGACGGTAAGGCCGTAACTTTACATAACGAGTTTGCCTTCGTTAAATTGGACGTTTCTTCGATGTCTGTCTGCAATCACCTCCATTTTCACTTGAGCTCTAATGAGGTGAGCTTTCAATTCTTCCAAAATGGAGTCCCTGTCCATCAACTACTGCTCCACAATGGACATGGATGTCTGTTTAATGCCATACTGGATTAATGGAGGGGGATCTCGTCCATAAACCGCTCGAAATAGAGTAGCGTTCGTTGAAGCGTGGAAGGTCGTATTATACCAATATTCAGCCCAAGGTGACCACTTGTAGCAGTCTCGCGGTTTGTCATAAGTGAAACTCCATAAGTATTCCTCTACAAACCGATTTACTACCTTCATCTGCCAACCCATTAGCGGTTGATAGGCCGTGCTTCAGCCTAAGTAAGTCCCTTGCAATCTGAATAATTCCTTCCAGAAATGATAGAGAAGCACTTTATCCCCATCCGACACAATGGAACGTGGAATTCCAAGTTTTACCATTTCTTTCACAAAAACTGAGGCGACCCCTGAGGCATTATAAGGATGGATCCCCAATCAAACTCCTAACATTATTGGACTTCAATAATCTCACAAATTCCCCTTGAATCTTAGCTGCCTCATTCCCTCCTTGGACTTCCTCTAATTCTGATTCTTTCACTTTGTCCTCTTTTCCACCAGATTTGTTATTGACCACCAAACGTTGCAGCCCCTTACTTTTATTGTTATGCTTGATTGGATTCTTCTCCCTCCATTTATGGTATAATCGTTTCGTTTGCTGTATTGCCCCGCAAAGCAACGTGAAGGAATTCTGTATTTTAGATGGTAGATTGTGGTAGATTGACAACATTGAATTGCCTACCAAGTGGCTCAACTCCCTAGTTTGGGTCAGCCAATTGGGTTTAACCATCCCAATATCTCCATTCACCAATTTAGAATCTAAATACTCCTTCAACATTGATTCTAGAGCTTGAGATTGGTTCAAGGATCTTTCTCCTTCGACTGTCCATGGTGAGGGGAAAAATATATCCTGCAGCAAATTCTTCGATTGAAGCTCAGACACAGAACAATCAATCTCTGCTCTGTTGTTGGTGTTAAAAATTCTTGCACCTTTGCCGCCACCAAGACATCCAATTCCAATATTATCAATTTTCCAGTCTATTTCTCATATCTCATAATTCACTTTTGTTCTGCATCGATGCCCAATGGTGTTGTGTACACATTACACGCGAGAATCAAATTGTTTTCCCTTTGATTGCAGCTGATTTGCGCAACTAGAACTTTGAACTGGAGTAATTTGGTGTAAATAGTTGTTGTTGGGCCATTTTCATTTTCTTTATTCAGGTCCAAATCTCTTGGGTTTCTATTTAGTAAAACTTTAGAGTTCACTTGTTGGGCCATATTTCTACCAGAGTCCAAACCCACTAAAATTAATAACAACTTCTTTTGAATTGCCCATTAAACAAGCCCTACCCACCTCCTTCATCATCAAGATCTGCAATAACAGATATGAATAGCTGATCATCGTCTTCTTTCACTGCGTGTCCTTGCCTCATTCTTATCTGCTCCGTGGAAGTCTGCACATAAGTTGTTGAAATCTCAGAGTCCCGTTTGTAATCTTTCTCGAATTCCTCTGATTTCCATGCTGAAAACTTCTCAGAAATATCAGCCCCTGACAACAGATTCTTGCAGAATATTAACGACCTGTCTTGAGTTACCTCCACAAAGTATTGGTATTTTGAACTTCCTTATTTGTCTCCAGTTGTTTCCCTCTTGATATTTCCCAGTTTCCCCTGTTTTATCAATCTGTTTGCCTCGATCTCACTCCTGTTGATCTCCCATGGGTCCCTTGTGAACATTAGGTAGTAACTGAACCTCAGAAACACTTCCAGATCTATCTTGGTCCGTAACTCTATTCATGGCTACCTTTGGAAGAATAAGAGCTGCCAAAGATTTCTGGGTTTCCTCCATTGATTGCATTATCTTGATCATGCTCTGAGTGAGGTGCTCCACAGATATTTCCAGGCCCTGCAACCGTTGCATTTCTGACCTTAAATCCTTCATTTCTCTTTCCATGACTTCCACTCTGCCTTCTATTTTCCTTTGTGCCATCAGGAATGAACTGCTCTGATACCAATTTGATCGGATTCTATTTGGAAAATATAGAGTAGCAGAAAAAAAGATTACGCTAAAAGAAGGATAACAGACTGTGGGAGGCTGTGACTCTCAAACTAACTCCTCTCTCTCTTAAAAATTGCCTGCCTCCCCTGTTCGCTATACTTCTATTTATAAACTTCATGTAACTAACTACCCAATTCAATTACTTCCCAGACCGCCCCTTATTCCTGCTTCTGGATACTTCTAGAGTAGGTGAATCGAATGGGAGGTCTATCAGAGACATCTTGGTCCTGAGAAATCATAAGATCCAATAGGTGCATTCTAATGAGAAAGGTATCTGAATCCTAATTAGATAGAACTATTTTAAATTCAAAATGCTAAGTCTTTAAGGCCCAGAAGGGGGATATGGTGGCCTCATAATTGTGTGCATATTCCTAAGATCCAGCAGGTGCATATGGCATTGTTTTCTCATGATTACAGTCACTGATCACTGCTCTCACCGCCCTAACCCTTTCCTCTGAAATCATGCCCCTACCTGATTATGTTCACTGTACTGCTGGATGATCCGGTGTCATACCAAATTCAGGTCTGGTCTTATTTTTTCTCAGGCCACCTCTGCCTTTGATTTATACAGGTAATTTTCTTGCACTTATGCTCTTAAGTTGGTATCCCCATTTCTCCCTGTAAGTTGCCAATTTTGCTTCAGGCTCCACCCAAAATGAGTTTTGGAGAGGCACCCAAATGCCACCCACAAGTACTAGTCTTGCTAAAAAGGTGATATCCCAATTTAGGTTTGAAATTGAAAATATTCATAATGAAATTTCCCAGGCAAGAAAAAATCATTTTAAATCTTACATTCTTAGTGATGCGGAAGAAGAAAACAAATTCTTAGATCCTGTTGATGAGATATTTCAAAAACAGTAACCAAAATTCTAAGTCTCATCTATATTTTTTGCAATCAGCTTTTGGATGATGACTCAGTTTGGATGATCAGGGGTGACGAGAGGGGAGAGGGTTGGGGGTGGTGAGAGAAGGTTTTGGGATTGGAATACCACTTATCATTTAGGAAAGGAAGGGCGAAAGTGAACAGATGATGGGGGTGGGGGGAGGAAGATGGGTTCTTTTCCCTTCTTTTCTAATTTATCATTTTCCTTTATTTTTTTTTCAATTAAAATTGAGGTAAAAATATCTTCAATGATTATCTTAGGTCATGTGCAAGCCACGAGGTTTAAGGGAGTTTTTGAATGGATAAGCAAGGTTATCAACAAGCTACAAAATTTGAAACTTAAGAATCTGTCTGATAAATTAGAATAAACATGCTGAATGCACTTACAATTTTCCCAATGCACTTAAAACTTTCCCAATGAAAATAGAAAGTGGTGGCGAATTTCACTTAACGCATTTGATAAGGACACCGTGATGTGTGCCACTTGAGTACTTGAAAATTGAATAATGCTATCAAGCATCAATCTAAGTGGCCACACTTGCTCAATTAAATGAATCATGTGACGTTACATTTAAATGAATCTATTATTTAATGTCACGCAGTTGCCACCTAGGCTGGTGCTTGACATTACTGGTGTTGAATAGCGTTACTTTTGAAAATTAGTTTGTAGAAAGTTGATAAAAGTCATTAAAAAATTTGAGCACTTCTCAACATGCAGGTTAAGGCTGTGTATGTGAAGAACTTGCCTAAAGACACAACTCAAGATCAGCTTAAAGAGTTGTTTGAACATCATGGAAAAATTACAAAAGTGGTTCTTCCTCCTGCAAAACCAGGGCATGAAAAGAGTAGATATGGTTTTGTTCACTTTGCAGAAAGGTCCAGTGCCATGAAGGCTCTAAAGAACACTGAGAAATATGAGCTAAATGGTATTCCCATATTTCACTTACTACTTGTAGTCTAGCCAATGAGAGATGACACCTGTTTTCCCTTATCCTGAGTTACACGTTTGACAGGACAAGTTCTGGAGTGCTCACTCGCAAAGCCACAGGCAGAGCAGAAGTCTTCTGGGGGACCAAATTCTCAGAAGGCACCTATACTTCCAACTTACCCACCTCGTGTTGGATATGGTTTGGTTGGACCACCTCCCTATGGGGCTATTGGTGCAGGATATGCTGGTGCGAACTTTGCTCAAGTAAGATTCTTGCAATATTATGTTTTTTCTTTCCCACTTGACAATTTTTTTTTTTTTTTATTAATGTCTGTACTGTTTTAGAACGAAGTATCCATGTTTCTTCATTCTCCATCCTTCCTACCCCGGCATTGCCTCTCTGGCCATGTTCCATGTTTTCTTCTTTCCTATGCATGCAGATCTCCTATCATGGCATAGCTATTGCAATAATCAGTATTTAATATTTCTTCCATAAATAATTGGACTCGTTGAAGTATGGGCAGTCGAATGCCTAAATATCAGAGGCTGTATCGTGTAAACAGATTACCTCGAAATAGTATAATGTATAAAAGAATTGAGTATTCCAAATTGTTGTGGAACATTTAGTCTTGTTAATGAGCCGAGTAGAGCCAAACCGGCTCGTGAGCCAAATGAGGCTTGGGCTCAGCTTAAGTAAAAATGGTTCGAGCTTTTTTTTTTGCCCGAGCCGAGCCTGCTCAGCTGCTGCCTTTAAAAGGCAGCAACACGCTGCCCTTTATCATTTTTATTAAAGGGTCGGGCCGAAAATAGCCCGTGACACGAGCTGGTCCGTGTGGCTTGTTGAGCCACATGAGCCCGAGTCCCATTTCTCAGCTAGTTTCTACCAAGCCTCTAGATGGGCTGGCTCGGGCTTTTTTTGGGCCGAGCCATGGCACGCACGAACTGACGAGTCAAATTGACACTCCTAGGAACATTTTTATATCCAATGGTCATCTTCTAGGAAAATTTCTTGCATCAAATAATGTGATATCGGATCCAAAAGATGTCATGTTTACTTTTGCTACATTCATCAAAATGGCCTGATAAAATTTAAAATCATGCAGTCATACGCATTCTTAATCTGTACACATGGATTCTGGCCAGTCTTGTACTTTAAAATTTTAACCCAAAAAGAAAAAATGGGCAAATCATGTTACTGCTGCTAACATTCACTTTTTCACCAACAAGAACCACCAAAATAATGCACGTTCTTTTCGTGGGCTAAAATATCATATTTGTTGAATGTTCGAAGTTGAGGCAGAAATTTTGTAGTTTTGACCTTGTTTCTTTATTATACACTGTAATAATTACTACATGCAACCTCTGCCATTATAATTGTCTAATGTTGTAATGATGACGATAGAGCAATTATCTGTTTCATGTCCTGTTGACTGTGCATTGTCTTTGCAGCCACTAATATATGGAAGAGGAGGTACGCCGGGCATGGCTATGATGCCAATGCTTTTACCCGATGGCCGGATTGGATACGTCCTGTAAGTATAATATATATATATTATTTATTTATTCCCAGATTTAGTGCTTGTGTCGGAGTGATTTTTTGAAAAGCAGTTCTTTTTGGAGAATGTGCGGTGAAAAAGTAATAAGAAGTTATGGGGGAACATGAAATGATTTTTATGTATTTATTTATTTTTTGGAAATGTATGATTGAAAATGTTTTTTTTTTTTTTTTTTTTTTGGGGGGGATTTTGAAAAAGTCAGTTTCAAATGAGCACTTAAATGTCTACTTGCATTTTGATATATACTTTTATTCTGAAATCTACTTAAATAACTTGAAGGCTGAAACTTAATGAAAAGTAGAAGTGAAATTTCCCAAGGTCTGTCACAGCAATAAGATACTACAAGTTGTTTGTAAAATTTGTTCAAGTAGGCCCACACACAAGGATTAAGAACATTGAGATGCATGATGAAAATTACATCCACTATTTAATTTAGTTGAAAATGAGGCAGGAATCTCGGATTTTGCATTCATGGTAATTACTCGTGTTGTGCTATCCTTATTTGATACACCAGTCATTTGAATTTCTTTCTATTCATTGTGACCTTTTCCTTACAAACAATGCTTTGGGAATGCCTTGTGTCAAAAAATGCGCTTCCACCTTGATTTTAGCATGGATCTTTGAGTATGAATTGTAAAAGGAGAATTTTTCTGATTCTAGTTTATCTGTGTTTGAAACATCGTTTATTTGATGACCCAAGTGCATTGTTTTTGTGAATGGAATTAAATCGGGAGAAACAGAAAGGAAGGACATCAAGGGATAATTATTGTCCATTTTTCTTGGTTAGGACAGGTAGAAATATAAGGAAATCTACCATATTTTATTGAATTTCTGAGTTATTCAATCCTGTCGCTTGCTATCGTTTACGCATCTTCCCAAATTTGGGATCCCAGTCTGTTTCTGCTTTTGGTTCCCATTCTCCTGTAATCCAGATACAAAAAAACATTGTAAATGCGTTAAAGTAAGGGGCACTACGTATCTAACTTTCTATGTATGAAATAATCATCTCTTGCAGAGACGTATGAACTGGCTACCTGTTTTTAAGTCTTCTGCTTCATGTTACTGATGCAGAATGCTTTATTTTTTCTTTAGGCAACAGCAGGGAGTACAACCACAAACACCACCACCGCAACAAAGAGGTGGCCGAAGTGGTGGTGGTGGTGGTGGAGGAAGCTCGAGTGGTGGAAGACGTGGCACTGGCAGTGATAATGGGCGTGGACGTAGTCGTTACAACCCATATTAATCCTGCACTGTCAGGGAATGGTCTCGTGTGTATTAACTTCCAGTGTTGTGTATTGTAACAGTGAAAATGACAATCTTACAGGAAATGTTAACCTATGAAAATACTATTTATGCATCTAGGCTTCTAGTTTGTGATAACTGTTTTGGCCGTGGGAACTCCGTCTGATTATGCTGTATACACAAGAAAACAAATGTCGCACTGGATGTATTAGTTATGTAAGAGGCTTGAGACTTTGAGTTGAGATTTGTTGTCCAAAATTGGTTGTCAACTTGTTCATCCAATAATTCATTGATACATCATTTTAAATTAATATATCTGATTTTTCGCCACTTGTGCTTTTAAATGGGTGTAAAATGATATGTTAATAAATCATTGGTAGATGGTAAGGGACAGCTAATTTTGGATGGTAAATTTTAACTCGAATGATGTCATTAGTCATCTTGATTTCTTGGGATTGCCAATGGTGTAATTAATTTTGCTTCATTAACGGGATAGAAGAGAATTTGATGAGAATGAGGTGACAATCCTAGTTACCTGATTAACATTCTTAAGAATATGTTTGAGAAGTGTTGTTAAACAATATAAATTATAAATCGATAAAAATGAGTTGATGAAACGCTGGTGTTACTTGTGGGTTTTACGAAATAGATTATGGAAGGTAATTTGATTGATGATAAACATAAGTCAAACATAGGTGTAATGAGGGCAATAAATGTCATTACATGGTGCTAACAGCATTTTCAGTTTTAACGTGGATCGCATAGGGAGTGATACCGTTTAGCACAACGACGCTAAGCATCAATCTGGGCAGAATGTAAATGCTATTAATTGATACACCATCGTAAAAATAGAGAAATGAATTAGAACTTGTTTGGTACAGATTTTAAGTCAATTAAAATCAATTTTTTGATTGTTATTTCATTATTCTAATTGTCGTTTTTGAATTCTTCTTTCATGGGTAGGATCCACTTTATTTCTAATAATAAAAAAATCAATTAACCAAATTCTTACCAAACAAACACTCACATTTAAGACGTCACATTACTTGGATACCACATAAAATGGTAATATAGCGCCAATGGCATTAGATAACATTGAGTAAAATGTTTTAACACTCAATGAACTTTGGCATACATCACAATTTACTCACCAAATTTTATAATCAACTTTAAATTTTTGCACTCTATCACTCATTGGATGTTTTCAGTTTCTCATTCTATCCACGTGGATAATGGAATTCTTACATGGCAATCAAATTCATACAAATGTAAAATAAAAATGTCTCTGTGGTCTCCATGTCATCAAATCTTGATTTTCAACCCAAACACACCCTACCTCGTAAAATGAAAACCCCCTCAAAATGGGGGAAGCATAAAATTGAATTCCTTAACTGCTGATTCACTAAATTCACTAACTACTGATTCTGAGCACCATGATGATGCTTACTCCGAACGGGCAATAGAAAATAGAATTCCTTGTCGTCGATTTGAAGGTTTTCTTAATTCCCAATAATTTAAAGGTTTTCTTCAAAGAAAAATAATAAATTAAAGGTTTGCTGGAGCCAATTCTATACACATTTCTTAAGTTGCACATTTTCAAATTTCCCAATAGAAGCTTTGAATCCGTATGAGAGAAAATCCAGAAAATGGGAACAGCGACGTGGAGGTTCACAAAGCTGTAAAAAACGACTTTGAGTAATACATGCAGATTTACTCCATAATTCTGGGTCGCAACTCCAAGAATTCTTCTGTTGACGTTGATCTCTCCTCCTTGGAAGGCAGAATGATTATCAACCTCCACCACACCCGCATTTTCTACAGTTTTCATCGCTGCTGCTTTACCCTCTAGGTGCTAGGGAAAATGGTTGTTTTATAGAGGGCATTCTCCACCTCTTGAGCAACCCTCTCGTCAAGCTTGTAGAGGTAGAATGGATTTGGGCGGCTAGGGTTACAAATGATTTTGGGGATTCTTGATTTCCCACACGATTTTGTTACAGTGCATTTGATTGTCAATATTTTTCATACAAATTTTTATTTTTATGCTGTTTGATTGTCAACCGCCATCACCCTTGTGTGGTGGCATTATTAACCGCCACCAAACCTGCATTTTTTACAATTTTCATCGCTGTTGCTTTATCCTCTAGGTGTTGGGGAAAATGGCAGTTTTATAGAGAGCGTTCTCCACCTCTTGAGCAGCCCTCTCGTCAAGCTTGGAGAGGTAGAATGGATTTGGGGGGTTAGGGTTACAAATGATTTTGGGGATTCTTGATTTCCCACATGATTTTTGTTATGATGCATTTAATTGTCAATATTTTTCATACAAATTTTTACTTTTGTACTGTTTGATTGTCAACCACCACCACACCCTTGTGCAGTGGCAGAATGATTATCAATCGCCACCACCCGCATTTTCTACAATTTTCATTGCTGCTGCTTTACCCTCTAGGTGCTAGGGAAAATGGCTTTTTATAGAGGGCGTTCTCCACCTTTTGAGCAGCCCTCTCGTCAAGCTCGGAGAGGTAGAATGGATTTGGGGGGTTAGGGTTACAAATGATTTTGGGGATTTTTGATTTTCCACACGATTTTTGTTATCGTGCATTTGATTGTCAATATTTTCCATCCAAGTTTTTACTTTTGTGTTGTTTGATTGACTTTTTTTCCATGAAAAATATTTTCATACTTTTGGTTATATGACCATATTTTCCTTAAAGGAAAATATTTTCTTTAAAATTAAGGAAAATATTTTCTTTAAGAGGGTTTTGATTTTATTTTTCAGTGAATACACTCACTCTCATCTATCCACTCTCTTTTATCTACACACAAATAAAAAAATGGACAAATATAATATTTTTTAAGTTGAAAATTAAATCAATTAAATACATTTAATTGATAATTTTTATGCAAATAAGTTCCAGGCAATTGAATTGCCTAAAATTTATTCCCTTTCCATGTAAATTTTACGCTTGCAATCAAACACATTCTTAGTATTTTCCCCATTCTGAAGAGGATTTTTTTTTTCACAAGGATAAGGCGTGTTTGGGCTGAAAAACCAAAATTTAATGGTATGGTGAACACATAGGCATTTCATTTTACATTTGGAAGGATTTAACCGCCACGTAGGAATTCCGTCATCCTCGTGGACTGAATGAGAGACGAAGAAATCTAGTGAGTGATGGAGTGCAAAAACTTAAAGTTGAATGGCTACTAGAAAACATTGAAAGTTTGATGAGTAGGCATGACATATGCCAAAGTTCAGTGAGTGTTGAACATTTAATTCAATAACATTATTCTTATACTAAAAAGGTTGCCACATAAGTTATATATGCAAATTCTATAAAAGAAATGCAAAATGCTAGGTAATGTCAGCTGACACAGTAAAAAAAAAAAAATGTAGATATATTTAAAAGGACATTTTGTTGTAGAGGCTTTCTAGATGGAGTGAGTAATCATAATTTTACATTTTTCGTTTTCTCTTTTTACTAATTATTGTATTTTCTCTCTTCTATTAATATACATTAGAGACGGAATTGGAATTATAGAAGAAATCTATCAAAGATCGAATTTGAACAAAACTGTCCATTCATTATGCATTAAAGTAAATCGGAAGTCTTTCTATTTAGATCCTGCATAGATTACAATCCATGAGATAAATTGGAGATGCACTTACAAGTTAACAATGTTTGTCAACGAATATGAATAGATGTTTATATTAACACCACAACTTTTTTTTGTTTTACCAATTTTAATTTCGCCAAAGATTCTCAACCTTTGCTCATCGTCGTATTTATGTTTCTAATTTTTTTTTCTTTGCATTTAGTTCTCAACTTTTCATTATTAGCACTTATTTTCTTTAAAAGTCACTTTTCAGAAATTAATTTTAAACTTACCTTAACAGTAAGTTTAGTAATAGAAAAAGAAATTTGAAAATCATATAGGAAAGTTAAGAATGCTACATATGTTCTGTTTCTTCTGGCATATATTGGGCTTAAAGACAAACACAAAACTTCAAATGATGTACTGCGTTTATCATTCATTCCAAAACATCAAATGGTCAATGGAATTTCAAAAACAAGACAACAAAAACCAAAACCAAATAAATAGGACAATAATGGAACAAATAACCAACATGGAGTTCAAATAATTGCACTTGCCCTACTCGATAGGGGACCTAAATCCATTTTAGAATCCGATTTCTGTAACGGAAGTCCCGAATTCAATCTTCACTAGTAAAGAATTGAAATCGAACAACATCAAAAGAAAATTTCATCCGAACTACTCAAAGCATACTAACTTACATTATTAACAACACAATGAACACTGAATCAACCCATTCTCATTGCATTCACTACACCTGACACTCTTCTTTCCTTCCTCATCCAATACCTTACAGCTGCCATTGCACATCATACACATCAAGAACCGGGCCCCGCCACATCTGCGACACTTGGCAGCCGCCCGTGGGATCCCGTTAAACAAAATTTCCAATTTACCCTCCTCATCCAACTTTGCCAACTCATCAGCCCCACCAATCAACCTTCCCTTGACAAACACTAATGGTACTTTAACATCTTTTGTACCAATTAGACCTCTTAGTTCTTCCTTGAATCCTGAGTGCATCGATATATCACGCTCAAACATTCGAACATTATGTGATTCGATGATTGATCGAGCCCTGTTACAATCCTTAAAGGTCTTCCTAATGCCCCTCAATGTGGTAGTGTATACGATAACTTCATTTTCACCACCTGGTGGGCATTTTTGGTCGAATGATTCAAGAATGGACTCTGAATCACGGAAACTTTTCCATTTTGGCGTAGTGGATATCGGTAAAACCAGCTTCTTCACCTTTTCTTCCCCTTTAGACACTTCTTTTTCTAATGACGCAAATAGTTCTGGATTAAACAGCGGGCCTAAACTCCTTCGAGATGAAACCACTCCAGAATCAACCTTTACACTGTTAGTTTTCGAAGCATTCGGACTTCCCTTTATTGAAGCCCACAATCTTGGTGAAGGTTTCCTTGAACTCTCCCTCAACTTATCACATTCTTTCAAACCTGTTTTTGGGCTATTTTCTGTTGATCCCACAACTCTTTCCTTATTCTCTTTTCCTCCAAATTTCTTAAACTTTCTGGGAGTAGTATGTGGAGTACCCATTTGATTCAAGATCTTTAAGGGGCTTCTTCCATCGAGAAGAATTCTTGATTTTGGGCTCTTCTTGGATCGAACAGAACCCGGACCTTCTTCTTCTAGCCCTTCCATAATCTCCCAGGCATTTATAATCTCCGAAGGCTCTTCTCGAGGTGGTGATTTCTTCATTTCAACCACAGCTTCTTTTATGTTCCTTAGAACTTCTTGTTTCTGCTTTTCTTGATGTAGCTGATGAATTTCTTTGTCAAGTTTGAGAACGCCATAGGTGCTTGAAGTGAGGGACACTACATGGTTTGCATAATCTCCTTTTTCATATCGATTTTCTCGCTTGATTCCTTTCCTTATCAGTCTTGATGAAGCACAGCCCATTGAAGTTCGTAGAGGTAATTTGCCAAACTTGATGTTTTTTCGTCTCTGTTTTCAAAGGATTTTCAAAAGTTTTAACTGTTACAATGTACAACGGACACAACGGTCGGAAAATTCGAATGAGACATCAGTAAAATTTTGTAAGAAGCCCCGAATCTTTTTGTTATTTATAAAAGCCCCCCTAAACATTTATAATTTGAATTTTTGTCAATACGATGGAAAAGACTAACTACGCACATAAACTTACAGGATAGGGCACTACGTTAAAAATCTAATTGGGGACAAAATTGCCACTATGTTAATGGATTAGAGACTAATGACACAATTTATTATTATTATTATTTTTAAGAAAGATAAAAGATAAACGACGACTACATTTTTCCTATGATATTAGACCCATTATAAACACGAATTTCTTTGAAAAGACACGAATGGCACAACTTTTTTTAAGAAAGATAAAAGATAAATGACAACTACATATTTTCTACGATATTAGACTCAAATTTCTTTGAAAAGGGACATTAATGTTTGACTCATTTTCTTTTATTTCAAAAAATATTGATGATGTTGGTATAATTAAGAGCCTGTTTGGTTTGCATTAAATTTTGATTTTAATCTAAGTCTAAATCTAAATCAAACAATCAATATTAATCATACATTTCACGAGTATTACAATTTTTCAACAATATATTTCAAAAACTTCTTTCACAATCTACTAAAAAATCTAATATTAATCCCCACCAAACACCCTCTTAATTACTACAATAGGAATAAAGGTTTCAAGACTTTCTTTTAAATAGTAAATTAATATTTGACTTATAAAACACGATTACATAGTAAATCGATCATCATATTTCGAGAAAAGGCCAATCATGTCAGTTTAAGTTAATTACAACAATTGGAATGGAGTATTAGTAGAGTAATACTATTTATCGAGATTACGGATAGTCAACAATCTAGGTGTACCTACATTAATAGATCCAATCACATTGTCCTTGTTTGGTAGTAATTAAAATTTAGATTTTAATATAAGTCAATATTAACAATAGTTTTTAACCACATATTTGATGAAATTCATAATTTTTCAACAATAAATTTCATCAATTTTTATCAAAAATTACTAAAAATTTAATTTTTATACCCACCAAATAAGGGCTTCATATCATTTACTCGACACATTAATTGTTGATCATTTACAATCTAAAAAAAAAAAAAAAAAGTACATTCATGATTTTCTAAGCATCGATGTTTAGTTTACACTAAGTACCAAGTGACGTTGCACATTACAATAGGTGGAGAAAGATAATAATTAATTTTAAAACTAATTATTACACAACCTATTGTAGTGTGCCACCTAACTATGGTGCTTAGTATAAACTAAGCACTGATGCTGAATGTAAAAGGTTTTCAGTATTTATGTTTCCAACATTTATTTTTCAAAGTAAATTGATATTTCCCGATAGTTTCCATCAAAATGGGAATTACACCAAGGTAGCGTTTGATTTCAAGGATAGAACTTCCATGAACAGAGAAATAAATTTTAGATAATTGAATTGTCTAAAACTTATTTGTATGAAAATTTTCAATTGAATGTGTTTAATTGGCTTAATTTTTAACCTAAGAATATTGTATTTTTTCATAAAGTTGATTTTTTTGAAAAATGTAAATAACCTAGAAAATAAAAACTTATCTCCCGGCTTGTAAAAAAATATTTTCTTCATTTTTGAGAAAAATATTGTCACGTGATCAACTTTTGAAAAAAAAAAATTTTGGAAAAAAAGGTCAATCAAACAATTTAAAAGTAAGAATTTTGATAAAAAAAAAAATGATATTTCTCATAAAAAATAAAATCAAACAAACCCACTACAAGTGAGACGACAAATTTCCTCTTTGAGCTCTAAACATAAATAATAAATATTAATAAAAAAATTGAACAAGAGAAAAGGGGAAAGAATAAATAAATAAAAATTCCCACAACTACCATCCATTGCACCTTGTCACCTCTGTTCAACTACATTGCCAACGGTAACAAGGAGACATACTTTTATGGGACGGTCACACTATCTTATATGGTACAATCGTCAAATGGTGAGGTGAGGCTGTCTCGGACCGTCGCACCAAATTTTTTCTCCAAGGGAAGGGAGGCTCATGTCACTAGCAAGTCGAGTTTTCATTTTAATAAAGTAAGATATGAATGAGTGGGCTAGGGTGCGGTTTGGTTGGTTTCGACTCCAACTCGAAACAAAAATCAAATTAGTCAATTTGGGGGAATTTCAATCCAAACCAACCTCCTCTAACTCTTTAAACGAACCGAATCGATTTGTTTTGATTCAATTCGGCTAGTCGGTTTGGACTTTTAGTCCAAATTGAATTTATTTATTTTTTTAAAAAAATTGTTCAAGTTTTGGGTCCACTTAAATTACAAGAACTAAAATAACTAAATAATTTTATATTACAAGAACTATTGACCAACAAATAAAATTAGGATAATAGAATCAGATCAATAGAAAACTTAAGATTTTTGTTATTTTTTATGTATTATGTAGTCTGACTGTTTGAGTAAAAAAAATGTTAAGTATAGTATAATGAGTTTGTGAAAGGAAATTTCTAATACTATTACTCATCGGTAGCTTCATAGATTGGAGGTTATGAGATTAAAAATACCTTTTGGTTTTGATTTTTTTTTTTAAAATTAAAAAAAAAAAAAAAAATGAAGAAGAAGAAGAGGAAGGGAAACATGTAAGTGTGTTGGACTGTTGGGTTGGTTTGATTAACTAACGGTTTGAGATTTCAAACCGTAAATGAACCGATCTACTATGATTTTGTTTAAAAAAAATCAAATCAAACTAATTACCTGTGTCATACCGATTTGAACCGACCCGAGTCGATGTAGTTGACTGGCTTGGTCTATTTTTCGACCAATAATTATCTTTCTATTAAAAATAATTAAACTTTCTAAAGTAAAATAAAAATAATGTATTCAACAATTTTTTTTTTATTTGATATCTAGGTATCCCAACTTACACCAGACTAAATCCTGAACCTCCAAGACCCATGCCCCTAGAACCTTGGAGGGGGTAAATCGTTGGATATGCCTCAATTAGATCACAGGTTCCCCCCATTGACCGTACACTTCTGCTCACAAGAGACCCTCCTCCACAGTAATTGCTCCATACCAATTTTTTTGGCCGCAGGGTCCCACTCGGAATCGAACTCTCCACCCTGCCGCTGGAACCCAACAATTTTTAAATTAAAAACTATATTGTATGTATCTTGTTATGCCTATAAATTATCACTTCATATTGGGTCATTTTATTGGACCTGAGCCAGGTCCATTAGTGTTGGGTCCCAAAGTCGAGGCTCTGACAAGGCCAGTCGAGGCGCAGTCGAGGCCCTAAGAAGTCTAGCCGAAGCACCTATTATTTTGCTAACCTCGTATTGGGCTCAGACTTAGGCCCACTAACCCGTTTGGCCTGCTTCACATCCATTTCTCTATATATATGGATTTAACTCACACAATCAAGGTATGTTTTACATTCTCTAGCCAAATCTCCATATCCATACTATTGCACTCTATATATCTATTTTCATCTGGCCGTTGACTTGATCGCCGGAGTGCAAACGGTCATCGGACCTTTTTTTGTCCGGTCGCCTTTGCCTCTTGTCGGGGTGTTACGTGCACAGGTTTCGAGGGGACAATGTTAGAGAATCTATTGGAACCATTTTTGGAGGTCAATAGATTGGTGCCGTCCATGGGAAATGCTACGTTAACCATGTTATATCATATACCTAAAGGTCACCGGAAATTTTTCAATTTTCAGGCGACAATGTTCTACCAAAAGAGAAAAGGCAACAACATTTCGAAAAACAATTTTATTTCTACTAGAAGACATCATCAACCGGAGAAGAGAAAAAATGGCAGCCGAACCATTTGAAAAAAATTTCTTGAAAAAGGGAACTTTCGGCANCCATGCCCCTAGAACTTTGGAGGGGGTAAATCGCGGGTTATGCCTCAACTGGATCACAGGTTCCCCCCATTGACTGTACACTTCTGCGCACAAGAGACCCTTCTCCACAGTGATTGCTTCATACCAAATTTTTGGCCGCAGGTTCCCACCAGGAATCGAACTCTCCACCCTGCCGCTGGAAGCTAGCCAATGTTAATTAATTCACCAGTTGAGCTGTGCCTCGGGGGGCGTCATTATCTTTATCTCACTCGTGTGATGAAATGATCGAGCAAGAAAATTTCGTTATTATAATCATTTAAGTTTACGCGTTCACAAATATTAAATTTTGACAATTTTTCAGAACCGTGTCATAATTTACAATTTTTAAAAATAATAATAATATATTTATATAAGATAATAAATGTGATCAAAATTGATGAATGTACCAAAACAAAACATGATACGCACACGTATAATTTAGAATAATGTTACTTGTATATAATGGTTTATATATAGACAAGGTGTCAAAAAGTCGAGAAGATTTTTTTTTTTTTTTTTTTTGTTGAAGAAATTTTAATCAAATTGTATCTTATCACATCATGTGTATATAAATCATTATGTACATGAAGTCCAACAGTATAATTTAACTCTCTTCATATTTCATCTTTTAGCGAAGTAGTTATTCTCTCTCCGTACTCATCTCTATAACAAAGGGATTATACGATCGGATTGACATTGTTTATCTTCCTTGTGTTATGACCAATATAGATAAATATGGATAACTGTTTAGTATAGAGATCCAGTACTATTGTCATGTGACAAGTAAAATTGCACGCTAGACTTAGCCCCTCATTTTCAGCCAAACATCTACACAATAAAATATTCTATGCATTAAATTTTTCTCGACTACTTTAACCATATATTCTCCAAAAAATTCAATATTCAAAACATCGTAATCTCAAATAATGGCCATCAAACAGGACCTTAATGACCTTCAATGTGTAAATCTCCTACGTCGTTTGCATAAATTTTATTTGTGGCCTTGAATAAGCGTCC